GAAAAGGTCATGAGAGAGTCTCTTGTCTCAGGCTCAGCCTCCAAGTCTGTGCAGGATCTGGAGAAGCTGAGAAATGGAGTTGTCTTTTCTTTTGGGGGTGAGGGTGGGAGGCTTCTTGGCACTAGTGTAAGACACTGGCTTTGATCTGACCTAGGTTTTTGAAATGCAAAGTCCCTCTTTTTGTGTAATTTCTCCTACAAGTCTCCAACCCCTTCCATCAAGTTCAACAGGAAACCATGTGCCGTCTCTTGGCCAATCCTAGTGCACAGTGAGGTCTCCAATCACCAGGGGAAGGGAGTAGGAGGGCCAGACCCCTGCTTAGCAGGATGAGAAACAATGGCTAATTCATGGGAAAAGAGGCCATTTAGCCTGTGAGTTGAAAGGAATCCCTGCTGTTCTCCCCAACACACACATATTCAAGGGGACCATAGGGAACAGGGAGAGAATCAAAGATGGGGGGTAACTTTTGTTTTTGGAGTGTAGGGGACGGAGGCAGAGGGGGAACAGTAAGAGCTGGCACAAATGTACAGAGGGGAAGAAGACAGATGCTTTCATGCCAGGAGGGCCACATGGCTGTACGGAATTACATAAAATAGCACCAGGGACCAGTTTCATGGAGTACAATTTTTTCCAGAGACCAAGTCGGTGGTGGGGTTTCAGGATGAAACTGTTCCACCTCGAGGAGCTTGCAACCTAGAACCCTCACATGCTCAGTTCACACTAGGGTTCGCGGTTCCTATGAGACACTAATGCGACAGCAGATCTGACAGGAGGTGGAGCCACCACTGCTCACTTCCTGCCCTGCGGCCGGTTCCTAACAGGCCATGGACCAGTCCCGGTCCGCAGCCTGGCTTTTGGGGACCCCTGATGTTAAACATCCCTCTCTTCCTTATCCCTGGGAGGTGATGACTGACTGCAAGAAACCTTTGCACGTGACTTCCTTCTAACCCTCCTTTCTGTTGGAACAGTGTCCTGGGAGATGAAGTCATTGGAATCTGGCCACGAAATGCAGACAAAGCTGATGTCAACTGCGCATGTGTGACCCACGCTGGCCTGAACATTGTCACAGGAGATGACTTTGGGCTGGTGAAGCTCTTTGATTTTCCGTGCACAGAGAAATTTGTGAGTCTTCCTCAGAGTAACCTTTCTGCAGGTTCTCTGTTTTGCCGTCTGCAAGAGATAGGGGCCACATCTAGATGAACCTCTGGGAGACACAGAGAAACCCTGTCCCAGTACTGTGGAAATATGGCAATGACTTTTTCACCTCCTGGAGGGGCAGTCCTGGAAGCCAGAAGGGAGGATGGAGGGTGGATAAAATGGCCGGAAGTGGGGCAAGGATGAGAGGCAGGAAAGTCAGCCAAAGCCTGGCTAATAGATGAGTCCAGACCAAATGGGAGTCCCCAGTGAAGGAAGGTTCTGGGAGCAGGGGATTTGAGTGCTGGAAGGAGTCTGTGGTTGCTGAGAGGAGCCAGAGTCTCTTAACTGTCTCCATTCACTTTTGCTCACAGGCCAAACATAAGCGATACTTTGGTCACTCGGCTCACGTGACAAACATCCGTTTCTCTTATGATGACAAGTATGTGGTCAGCACTGGAGGAGACGACTGCAGGTACTAACCTAGCGGACCCAGTTCTTACTCCCCAGGCCTGGCCAGCTCTCCCTCCCCATCTCAGGCGTGCTGTGAGTCAGCCTCTCCCAGGGGCATGGGGAGGGCTGATGTTGGGCTAATAAACAGGAAATTCCATGAGTCCTCATGAAGGCAAGTACTTTCCGAGATAAGGCATTTACTCTTTGGTGACTGTCAACCCAATGGTTGTGACTGGAGCTGTCCTGGGATGGCGTGGGCATGTGATAGCTACTCTGGGCACTGCTGGGGGACAGGGACAGGTGGCTGAGACCTGAGACGGCTGCTTGGAGTAGGAGCTCTTGGCAGCCCACGGGCTGTTGTGCACAATCAGGTTAGAATGGAAATTCATCCATAGAACTCCCAGCTGATCACCAGTGTTGGGAATTTATTATTTATAGTATAGAGGAACAGGACTAGGTCATTCTAACTCACTCAGCTTCCCCATTTCTGATGAGCTTCATTGTAGCAGGAATACTGGGTTCTATTCAGCCCAAGCAAAACTCTTGAGGGGATAAAGAAGAAATACATGCATTCTGATACTTTCTAGTGGTCTGAGGTTGTAAGAAAGGCACCTATAAAGAATTTCGTCCCACTTCCCACTCAAAAGCACTGCATATTTCTGATGGCCTGCCTGGGAGCACCCATCTCCAGCCTGCTGTGCTGGCTACTTCTGGCACTTATAGCCCTTGAGATAGGACTGACAGCAGCTCCCTGCAGAGTGCAAACACCCATTCAAAGCAGCACCAACCAAACTATCAACAAGCTAGGAGTAAGAGACATAAATGAACTGGTCACCCCAATGCACGCTGTGTTTTAATATAAAAGACTTAGAAGTGACCTTAACCATGCAGGGCTTATAGGCCTTTGTAGGAACGGGAGCACGCTGTGACCCCGGCTCTGTGCTAAACACTCGAAAGGGCTCTCTGACTCAAGTGGAGTTGATAAACCTTTTCAATAGTAACAGGAGAGAGTGTGATATCAAAGTGCCAAAAGTCCTCACGGACCAACATTCAGCACAGACATTCAAACTGCTGAAAGAACCAAACAGAACTCAATTGAAAAAACAGACCTTTAAAAAAAAAAAAAAAAAGCAATAGATCTTAATTTGGTGGCAAGATCCGTGGGTTACCTTTTGAAGTCAAAATGTTCAGTACATCACCTGAGCTTGACTTTTGAGCACTTGGCAAGATTGTTTTTTTTCACTTGACACAAGTATGACGTCCAGCTATGCAAAATGACTGTTTGGTCTGCCTTTTCAGTGTATTTGTATGGCGATGTCTGTAAATGCCAGAAGCCTCTTATGTTATTGCTGCTGCTGCTACCAGCCAGCAACTGCAGAGGCCACGCTGAGGTGCCTCCTTGCCACCAGCCGTTGGGAAATGCCTACCATGCTGCCCCGGACACACAAGCTCAAAATGCGGCGGAAGTTACACAGCTGTTCCCATAAACTGGACTCTCCAAAACTGTGATGCCACGAAGGAAGGTCAAGTTGTAAAATGTTAAGACTGCTTGCCTCTGTTCCTGAGACTAAACACTATACATACTGACTACATTGACAAAGAACTCCTATCTGATAATGTAGCCCGCTGACAAATTTTGAAGCCTCGGTTACCCTAAACTAATATGTAGCTTTTAATTTGCATCAAAACTTTTACAAAGATGTTTTGCTATTGTTTCTATATACTTCAAGAATGTTCATTTTTACAAATAAGTTGAACAAGACAGCCTAAGTTAGATGCACCGAAGTACTAGAAGTATCGCTAGCCTCTGTTCTCCAATTTAGCTTTCAAAACCAAATGAGCCATGTATAAAGGAGTTGAGAAACTTAATTTTTTAATGTTTCATTTGCAGAGTTTTATATCCATTAAGTGCCTTTGAAAGTTTCCAGTTGTGTGGGCTGCTGTCTCACCTCCCACCAATTTCTCCTTTCTCCATATGGTGCTAAAACTTCAAAGCTGAGGAGGGCTGCAGGACCCTTAGCAGATTCAGCATGTCACCCTTGTCCTGTGTTCATGCCAAGGCTTCCTAAATGAAAGACATCAGTTACCTGCTTATGGGAAGGTGAGCAGCAAAGGAACTGAAGTTCGGGACGGGGTAGAATCATGGGTTTTCATTGTGTTTCGTGCCAAACCCACAAAATCCAAAATAGAATTCAAATTAAACAAAGTTCTACTATAAAATGGAAGGGAAAAAAGGCTCTGGAAGGTCCAGGAGAATGAGCTGACTTATCTTGTTAAATCTTAAGATAAATGGGGTAACCCAAGGCTGCACCTTATTGTACCACCCTGAGTGGAGTTGAGGTGACTCCATTGATTGCTTCAGATGAACTATGTAGGTCAAGTCCAGATTCTAAAAAAATTACCTGCAGAACAAATTGTAAACCCAAGGAATAGCTGGTAAATCAAAATTATAAAGTGAGTTAGAGTTCCTTGGAGTTGGTTGTATGACAGAATATGACTTGGACAATCTTTACCAGAAGCCATCTGTACGCCCCCTCAGTCACACTTTCCATGTAGCTGACCAGTGACTACAGGATGTGGCTGACAGTGCTCACTGAAAGGAGAGCTGGTGAGGGATTGGTCGTTCTGAGCACATAGACGCCTATTAGTCCTTCCGTTCAGTGAACACAAATTCGAGATCTACATTTACTGGCTACTTGCATTTGTCAGTTTAGAGAAAAGGTAAAATGAAGCATTTTCAATTAAAGAATAGACTAACAAACATTTACCACAGAAGTGCTTCAGCATTCTAAATGGATTAGCTCACTCATTAAGCTATTTTTATATGCCAATTTACTAATGCCTTACATCAATCCACGAATAGGTTGTTGGGCCCACAGTAGAGTCCCTATGCAGTCCCAATTCTGTTTGTTTTCTGTAACCATGTGACTGGTGATGCTGAGTGATAACCATGTCTGCCTATATTGTACTAGACTCTTCATGCTGATCGGATCTTGCATTGAAATAACCACGTGGAAGAACAATAAATCGATTAGTTATGAAATGTACAACCATACTTAAAGAGCAATAGTGTCCGTGTGTCATGAAAAACTTATTTGTAAACGTTTATATGGTATGATTTTATGTATGTTCATAAATCCTGCACTGTATGATATACGTTAAAATATCGGTGCATGAATTTATTTTCAAAAAGTATAAAACACATCACTTAAACATTTTATGTGTCAAATAAATTTGATTATGTAAACACATTTGTTGACTTTTGTTTCCCAAGTAAACAAACAGCTGCACCATCAGCTGAAAAAACTTTTCTAAAAGCACAAGCTACCATTCACTGGTTGAAGCAAAGTCTACCCACTATGTGCATTTTTAATCTGCAGTTTCGTTTCATGAAATGAAAATACCAAAGTACATTTTAAGTCTATAAGCTTTATTGATACTTTGCTTTTACAGTTCACAATGCATTCCACAGATTTAGTTCAGTACAGCTTAAACCACAATGGTATAAATCTTCATTTTGTAATTTCTTGCATAACAATGTTTGATATTTGCAAACAACATTTTTGGAAGCATTAGATTCAGTCCATAGAGTTGAGTTTGTGACAAAATTAACTACAGGAAGTCTGTGCAATGAAATTTATGTTGGAGTTCTATGTGTGTGGCATTTCATGTTGAAAACAGATGGTAGTGCTCCTAGAAATGTATTTTCTTTTTCTAGCTTATGTGCTTTGGAACTATACATGTATAACCAATGACTCTGAAATACCAAGCACTGTGGGGTGGCTGGAAGGTAAAGGTCTAAGCTTTGTGAAACACTATATATATATAATCTATATTTACTTATATTGGCAATTAATATAACAGTAAAAGTCACAATACACCTAGAACATACGAGAAAAGCAAGATTTTCCATTCCTGCTTTACTGGTGTGATCTCGTCTAAACATTTCATTTCAGAAAATCTGCATCAATCTACACGGACCATACACAGTGCACAAACTGAAAAGGGCTTTTTTTTCTAACTCCACCATCTCTGCAACTTGCCAAGATGCAGCAAGACTACCTGCAACAAAGTAAAATATACAGGTTTTTTATTCCACCAGTGCCTCAGATAGGAAAAAGATATGATTACGGTTTAAATCCATACATAGCAGCTTACAATACTTAGATGATGAACACATGGCAGTCAAGACAGGTAATTTTCCCTCACAACAGTGCATGGCTAAAAATAAAGATCGAACAACGATCTGTGAAACTGCACTGCAATGTCAAGGTTCGTTCTTCCCTGACCCTCCCCCATATACTCAAATGAATACCCCCTTTAAAGATGAACTCCTAGTAATTATTTTGGGTGTTTTCATTCAGCTTTGCGCTTCAATCCAGGGATTTTCGCTTGGATTCTGAAAATGAAAAAGTCAATGTAAATATCAGTTTTGTTTGCTGCTGCTTAACATACCATCTTCCAAGAACCACTTGTATGTTATTCAGCTAACACAAGAAATGAAATCCTTGAAGCTGCCTAATTCTACACTCTAATTTTGCCACCTTGGCCTCATGAATTAGATTTAAGCAAAGCCTTAAACACATAATAAACCCAGAAACGAATGGTCCAAATGTTAGAAAAACAATCTTTTTTGGCAACTCTGAAGTCACACTTAAGGTCTGACAGAGATTCGTTACTCATTATGCCTGCAATATGAAAATACTGTTCTCACAATCCAGCACACCTTATCCTAGTAAAAACACTGCAGATTTTTAAATACTTACTTAGCCATAGCATCTTTAACATTCTTATTTGCAAGTCCTAGATAATGATCTATCTGTGCCTGAAAGAGAGGTATAAAGGAATTATTAATTACCACTGCTAAAGAATCTTATTAACCACTACTATGTGTCAAACTAAAGACTTAAGAAACTATCACATTTCTCATTTTTAGAAGACATTGAAAATGGGCACTAATACATTCATAAATCCCATGTAATAGAGTGGGCGCTCTATTCTGAAGTCAGCAGTTAGGAAATTACCTGATGCCGTTCATAAATAACAGGAACACTGAAGAGTGAAATGAGAGCTGAAAAGGGAAATACACAACTTTTCAAAAAGACTGGAATGATTTGGGAGAAATAAACACTCAAAAAACTATGAAACTGGCACCTCAAGATAATCAGGCAGTGTTGCTAATGAATGAATACGAACATAAGGATCTCTGGCTGCACCTGCTGTTGAGGAGCCACTCCAGGAGTGAATGAACGGTGTGAGGCTGCAGTTAGTTATTCACTAGAGCCAAGAACCATTCCTAGCTTCAATTCATATCACAGGTTTCATAAAATACAGGTATCCCTGGTAAGATTGATGACTGCACCATCATATAAGGCCACCCTTTATCTGGTTTGTCACTGTTAGTAGGAGCAGTCTTCAGCACCTAAGGTAGCATTTCAATAAACTGGGAAGCAGTATCACCAACTTATTTAAAGAGAATACAACCTCAAACATTTTTTTTTTTTGAGATGGAGTTTCACTCTTGTTGCCCAAGCTGAAGTGCAATGGTGCGATCTCGGCTCACTGCAACCTCCGCCTCTTGGGCTCAAGTGATTCTCCTGCCTCAGCCTCCTGAGTAGCTGGGATTACAGGCGCACGCCACCACGCCCGGCTGATTTTTTTGTAATTTTAGTAGAAATGGCGTTTCACCATGTTAGCCAGGCTGGTCTCAAACTCCTGGCCTCGGGTGATTCGCCCACCTCGGCCTCCCAAAGTGCTGGGATTACAGGCGTGAGCTACCGCGCCCGGCCCAAACTTTCATCCTCTACTTTTCATACAGTGAGAATATTCCCCACTAAAATGTCTAAGCTCTCCTGGCACACAATCTTTTTTCCAGCAATTTTTCATCCCAATGGCTTTGTAGACTTACCCAAAATCAGTAGCGTCAGACCATTAAACAAGGCACCAACATAGGTAAATACCCACATCAACACTGCAAACTATAAGAAAATAACAGCCCATTATAAACAAAATTCAAGTAAAGTTTCTTAATTATCCTTTCCAAAGCATCCCATCTAAATGCCAACCTACAGAGGCATACAACTTGAAGACCGGGTAAAGTACCATGAACAGCTCACTTTTAAGTCACCAGTCTCAATTATGAATTTCAGAATCCTAAAATAATAGATTTGACCCATTTTCTCTGGACTACACTACCAAGTAGTTGATTCTGCTGAGATCAGAAAATATACCAAGGGTACATCTTACCCCTCCAGCACTAACAGCATTTAGCTTTCAAATGGGAAGACTAGAACGGTAGTATGATAATTGTCTATTAAAATTGATTTCAAAGTACTAACTAGTTGAGTGCTTGAAGATATATGAGCTGAATAATTCACACATTAATATCTCAGACAGCTGATAAGCAGTAATTGGGCAAAGAGTACTTATCTGGGAAATTATGTTTCAGGTACCAAAAATACCACCTCCAGCCTTTGAAGGATCAGGCATAAAGTTTGTCTGAATTTTGTTAAACATTGGTCATCATCAGTTCCTTTGCTTTCTAATTCAAGGCCTTCATGTATATGTCTGGCAATCACTCTCACCTATTTCGTAGGTAAACAACATGATGCCACCATCTACAGTGATTATTTAGTCTTATATAACAGTATAAATGAAAAGGGGAGTAGTAGAGCACCCCCATTATCTAAAGCAGGGATCCGCAAACTTTCTCTGTGAAGAGCTACAGTAAAATTTCAGGTTTTATGGGCCACATAGGGTTTGTATCTCATATTAGACTTTGTTGTTATCTTATAACCCTTTAAAAATGTACACCACCCACTCTTAGCTCCCACACTATACAAAAACAGGCCATGGCCCAAATAAGCAGTGGTTTGCTAACCCTTGATCTAAAGCTTATCTTTCTCCATGTATTAAACGAACTCTGACTGAATGCTTACTGAGCATTAAGGAGTCAAACATTAGTAAGCATACTTGTTACAGCTTAGGAAGACACTTTGGATGACTCCACAAAGCAACAGTTCTACAAATAGCAACACTCTGGTCACCCTAACTGAATTTAACTAATGTTCAAGTCAGTAAATATCAGGCATTCTTAGTATCTGTCAATTGAAAAAAAAAATTTAAGCTGTCCTATTCTTAGCAATTGCTATTGGAACCCCTGGTAGAAAGGTTTGAAGGATGACTTCAGTTAGTAAGGCTTTTCTCTCACACAGTTTTACAGACTCCTATTGCTGAAGCTAAATATAACTTTTGCACTTGAGCAAGTTTACTATAGAGCAAGGGAGTTATTTTTATCCATCACTGTCCACAAGTGTAAAGGGAAAAGTGTTGACCTTCCACATTTTAGAAGAAATTGCTTTAGCAACAAAGATGCCCTTAACATGACAGAAGATAGTAACAAACACAAACTAAAGTAAGTCCTCATTTGGTCATTACAGTCACTGACAAGGCTTCACACCAAGTCCATAGGAGAGAAGCCCAAGACTTCACACCTGAGCCACTGAAGGGGCTCGTATGTCACTTGCCTCTTTGAGAACACTTCCTAAAAGCCAGGCTGTTCCGAGTCAAAGAACAGAGGGAGGTCTCAAATGTCCTTAGGGCCAGAGAGGTGACACACATGTATGTGAGGGGCTGGGAGAGAACTGAGGCACACAGTGATATGCATTCGTCCTCTCAAAGGGGTACTTACAACAGCCCTGCTCCATATGCTGTCACCATGCAAATACTCCAGGCCAGTGTTGCCAGAAATGGACACTTTTGTGTGCTATCACTTAATTTTTAAATGTTGCAGTTATGTTGAGAAAATGGAAACTTTGGGGGCCCAAAACAAAAATAGCGGGTAAGTATATCCAGGAACACACCATCAGGAGAGAAATGGGTGGCAGCCAGAACTAACCTAGAGAGTAACCATTATTAATGGGAATCCACCACAAATGATGGATTTGTAACACGGCAGGAAGAAGGTCAATAAACACCACTTTAAAGAAGCAAACAGGCTGCTCTCATTTTGGACTTACAAATTCTATGAGCTTCCATGGCAAATACTTTGCAACATTATAGCCAATACTTATTAACTGAAGAGGTCAAAGTTTATCCCTCTTTTGCACAGTAAGGAGACTGGAGGAAGGAGGCCCAAAATGTAATGAAGATCTAACAAATACTTACTGAAAAGGGGTAAGGGCCATGTCTGGTTTATCTTTCTTCCCGGGCAATAAGAGAATTAAATTCATGTGTATCACACACCTGATGAAAGAGCTCTGCAGATTTCTGATGTTTCAATTTGGGGAAAGGGGACATCTTTAAGGCAAATGGTGGGAGAGTGCTTAATAAGATCTCGGAAATTACTCCGGCAGTTCTGACCATTTCAAAACTTTTCTGCATTCTCAAACTCTAAACTCTACTTGCCCTTCTGTCTCCTTCAGATTCATTCATTAGTTGGTATTGTCTGGACTGTCTCTACATCCCCAGCCCATTTCCTTCTAATTTTTCTGAGAGCTCAAGGAACCTGAAAGGAAGCTGTCAAAATGTGAATGTTAACAGCTGCCTATCTATGAGCGTGAGAGCTAGATTTTGTGTTCTTTTGGGTCAGCTATTTCTGGAGCTCAGGCCGTTTTTTTTTTTTTTGCTTCCCCTCACTTTCAGATTTAAGACTGTATTCTGGAGCATTATAGTTGCCTCAATTACAGGAAAGTAAGACCCTCTGCTGAAAATACCTGGTCTTAGTCCCTTCAAAAGTAAAATTATTAGACAGCTTTTTGGGATTTGAGGTTTCAAAAGACAGGAACCCGCTAAGACGACTCAGAGGCATATTCAATTAGCCCAAAAGCTGAGCCCAGTAGGCACTGTCATATGCTTTTCTTTCATTTTTGGGGGTGGGAAGTGGGGGTAGGGAGGATTTACGGTTTCATGCCACAGATGTTTAAAACAGTGATTTTTGCCATACTATTTGACTAGAAAACTGGTCGCTGCTCACTCTATAAACACTTGAAATCTTTTCTAGGACTTAGAAGTTTGTAGTTAATTGCAAAGGAGCAAAACAAATGGAACATTACACAAGAATTTAAAAGGAGAACTCTGCAGAACATGTCTTATTTTATTCACCGAAGTCAACCACCAGAAAACTTGGACCAGGCACACGGATGCCCATCATTTCACACTGGCGTTTACAAAAGGACGAATGAGCCCTGGAGTTTGGTTATTTCTTTGATCCCATTTTGAAAGGCCAGGCTCCTCCTTCACTGCCCCTTCCAAAAGGCAATAAGCAAGGAAAAGGTTTCACATGCTAGCAAGAGTGGCTCTAAAATTTCAATTTCTGAGGAAGATGGTTTCAAATAGAAATAGTCATAGTTGTAGGCTGGGCATGGTGGTTCACACCTATAATCCCAGCACTTTGGGAGGCCAAGGCAGGCGGATCACCCGAGGTCAGGAGGTTGAGACCAGCCTGGCCAACTTGGCAAAACCCCATCTCTACTAAAAATACAAAAATTAGTTGGGCGTGATGGTGGATGCCTGTAGTCCCAGCTACTTGGGAGGCTGAAGCAGAAGAATCACTTGAACCCAGGAGACAAAGGCTGCAGTGAGCCAAGATCGCACCACAGCCCTCCAGCCTAGGTGACAAAGTGAGACTCCATCTACAAAAAAAAAAAAAAAAGACCTAGTGATAATTGTGACCCATAATCTAAAAATGTAGATATAAATTTGAGGGCACACAACAGATCTTGCATTATGAAGACAATGAGTTATAGAGATACTTCTTTCAAATTGTTGTTTAAAAACTATTTTGTAAACACAGCTTGATAAAATTATCTTTTCTAAATGACAAAAATTCAGAAATGAGAATTTCTACATTTTCCTGAAATTAAGATGGTTTCCATTTTCCTAGCTATGAATCATATAAAATCAATGTAATTCCAATAAAAAGTTGCTTCCTATAAAATTTTTAAAACTCATTGTTATTTAAATAAAACATTCATCTAAACTGGAGAGACTGGGGCTATTAGCAAACTTCCCACAAATTTAAAATCTGACTATAAGGCATTAAAATAAATCCTTTTAAACAAGGTAAATACATTTTTCCTTATGCTGAAAAAGTAAAAAAAGAATGGGAATTGGAGAAACACATTTTTTGCTTGCTTTAGGGCTAGAGAATATAACTTTCCCTACCAGTTTTTGTGGCTAAAAGTCAAAAAGTAATACAGTCCACTATTAAGGAACTTAAGATTAAGATTTTAATAATTTTTTTTTTTTTTTTTAAGGAGACAGGGTCTTACTCTGTCACCCTGGCTGGAATGCAGTGGTATGATCATGGCTCACTACATTCTCCACCTCCTGGGCTCACTCAGGAGATACCTCTTGCCTCAGCCTCCCAAGTAGCGGGGACTACAGGCATGTGCTGCCATGGCTGGCTGATTTTCTAGTATCTTTTTATAGAACAGAGTCTTACAATGTTGCCCAGGCTGGTCTCAAAGTCCTGGCTTCAAGCAATCCTTCCGCCTTGGCCTCCCAAAGTACTGGGATTACAGGCATGAGCTACCGTGCATGGCCAGGAAAACCTTTTTCTTTTTAAAATGCTCTCTATATAAATATAACAAAAACTGGGTGGGGGGATAAGTGTGGCCATACACAGAAGTCTCTCTAGAAAGGTAATCCCTATCAAGCATTTTTATAAAAAGGCGAAGTTATGTTTTTTTTATCAGCTTCCTTTTTCAATAAAAGCTGTTTTAAGGAAGTATTCAGTATTTCTGTAGTACCCTCATATTCAATGGAAACAAACAGATGGAATCTGTACTACTCATATACAACGACATTAAGAAAGGGTTTAGCTAAATTCTTGTGTGGCAAAATCACAAGGGTTATCAAGGAAGACCTTTCATGTACATGATCAGAGTGTGTACCAGAATCACCAAGGGCTTCATACCCATCACCTTTCATGAGGAGAAAAGGACACATTCCCTGCCTTACTCATTTGCCTCTAGAATTTGAGATCTAAATGCCAGGTTCACTTTAAGTGCTAACATGATGAAGCAACTGTTATTTATTTGCAGTCCTAAATGAACTGCAATCTGGGGAAGTCACCACGCCGGTTTCCTTGAGCTCTGAGCTTGCCAAAAACACAACACAGGGAAACCAATCAAGTATGTTTTTCTTCGCTTTTCTTTTTAAAAGTATTGCTAATCCTTAAGGAGAAATTAAATTTTAATCAAAGTCCTTTTTTTCAACAAGTTGTTAAGAAACAACAAGCGTTCCAGGAAGGAAATCTATCACATCATGTGTCACTTTCTGTTACTTTCAAATTAGCAGTCACTCAACGTGAAAACTTATCAAGTTTGATTTCTCTCATTTATGCTAGCTTCCTCATGAATAACATAATTGCTTTTATAAAAAAATGTAGTTTTCGAAAGAAATTAAAAGCTAAGATTTAACAAAGAAATTATTTCTCAAAACTTATTTTAAAAAGTCCTCATATTCGATTCTCAAATACCTGTGCAAAACAGAGATTTAAAACGTTTCTTAAGATCTCATCAGCCCCTAACGTATTTTCTCTCCTCTTGCCTTTGACAAATATTTCTATACCTACATAAGTATCTACACATTGGACTTTGTATGGATGAAAATTTTCCCTGAAAGAATAAGTTTTCTTTTGATTAAAGACAAGTGGAAACTTTATACTCAAACTCAGAAAACTAGAGCATAATGCATCATTCACACATCAATTTAAAAAAATAGATTTATTCAAGAATGACATTTCTCTCAAGAAAAATGTTAAATTGTAGACATATAGCTGCCTTCACTGCTATACTGTGCAAACATGGAGGATGACTTTTGGTGTATCTCTGTTGCCATGTTTATTGAATCCATAAAAACCACAACCATCTCTCCTCTCCTAAGCTCACCAGGCTTTTCTTTGAAGTCACCTCTCTCCCCCACCAATCTTTGACTTAAATTCAGAGATGGTCCTTTGCTGTTTGAAGCTCTGAATTACTACCTATAGACAGTGTTTCTTCTCAGTCAATTCCTATCCACAAACCATCCATCTTAAACGGCATCAGTACCTCCTTCTCAATCACTTTTCACACATGTTCTACCCTAAAAGTCAGCTACATACAGAAGGTAATAACACATGAATAGGAACTGGCTTCCTCTAGGCTGTATGTACAAGGTTCTATTTCATTTGCTCCAAAATATTTTTACTTTATCTCTTTTGAAACTAAAGTCAGCTACATACAGAAGGTAATAACACATGAATAGGAACTGGCTTCCTCTAGGCTGTATGTACAAGGTTCTATTTCATTTGCTCCAAAATATTTTTACTTTATCTCTTTTGAAACTAATCAAACATGCCAAACAACATAACCATAATCTCTTTATTTACAGACTGACATCAGATCATTTTAAAACACCACTCCAGATTCAGTCACTAAATGCAACCACTCTATATGAAAGAGATAAGTAATAAAAGGAAACTACATTATTTACCCTTGATGTTATTAGGAAGTAACTTAAGTTCCAAGTCATAAATAAAATAAGAGATGCGGCTGGGCACGATGGCTCATGCCTGTAATCCCAGAGACGCAAACAACTGAAAATAATGTATCAACTACCAGGTTATAAAGGCTAAAATTTTTTTTTAAATAAAAGCACTTTAAGCACTTACACCTATTCTGACCAGTTCAGAAATTGTTTTTTTGAGTCTAAAGGCCCAGTCACCCCCTTATTGCTACTATATCCTTGGCATGTGTGATAAATATAAACTAGAACATTTCTCTTGGAAATGAAAAATGAAAAATTATGAGAATTACCACCACTACATTTCTGTCCAGGCTTCGATTGGAAACAAGTCTGCCTGTTTTCTGCAGAGTCACAGGCAACAGCATATAAAACACAAATGCCAAGTTCTATGAAAAAGAAAAGCACTGCAGGTCCAGTGCTTCAGGCTTAATTAAATTACACAACTCTGGTTTAGTGCCTGTTTCGTCAGTCAGAACTTCGGGAGAGTTTATCTGCAAGGTGAGACTCTTAACAGCTGCTTATGTAGCAAGATCCCAAACTAAAGAAAAACTTCCAATGATGACCAATTGAAGATCAGTTGAGGTGTTTCAGAATATTAAATCTTATCTAGAATAAGAAAGAGTCCAAGATATGAAATAGCTTTCATGTATGTATGAATCACATATAAGATAAGAAACTAAGTGCTGGACTGTAAAACAAAGTCAGAATGAATGAATCACATCTGGTATTAAAACTGGCATTAGACGATCTTTATGCTTATAGTCAAAATTCCCTTTAATTTTCTCTTCCTTTTAATCTTCATGATTTCCAAAAGTATGATTTATAACTTATTCTCCTTTAAAAAGGAATATAGGACTCTCTGTATTAAGTATTACCAAAAAAAAAAAAAAAAAAAAAAAGGAATAGCACTTATTCATCCTTATCTGATTGGATTCTGAATTTTAAAACACAAGTTTCTAGCCATGTGATTTAATTAATATTTATCATTTACTTGAATATAGAAAATACAATTTTACACTCAACTCTTTTGATACTAAATTCTGAGTATATCAAAAATGAAAGGCAAAGTAAACTTACCTTCAGAGAATCAACTAAATCATCAACTAAGAAGAGGCGCCTGAGTTCCTTTATCGTGCAGTTCACATGACCAAGAGCAGAATTACTGTACTTCTGAACCAACTCCTCAGATATAGCAACTTCAGATTCCAGATATGCCCTAGAAAACAAAACACATCGTAATTGTCACTAATTGAAGTAATTTTCCCCAAAATGTCAATCAGAAATTATACATCTGTAAGAAATTAAGAAAATATTCTACTATGAAAGCCAACTGTTTCCAAATTAAGGGCAATATAAAAACTCAGCAGTAAGGGGTATTTCCTTGATATGCACTGTCTGCTGACTAGCACAGAAAAAGCATACACTTTGAAGCCAGACTGATCTAGGCTTGAATCTGATGCTCTGCCACTTACCTGGCTAGGTAATTTTGCAAAGTTATTCTTCCCTCTAAACTTAGTTTCCTCGTTTATAAAGTGGAGATTATCACAAGAATTCAATGAGAAAAGTGCCTAATGTAACTGGGCACAAGGATGCACTCAATAAATGGTAGTTATGACTATGGGTTTTTTTTTTTCCTTGAAGTTGACACTATGTTGTCTCATCAAGTTTTCCTAACAAAGATCTTTTTCATTTCCAAATCCTAAACTCTCTAAGACTAACCTCTAGGGGAAATTGCTCAATGTGTTAAGAACAAGATTGTAAAGTGGCCGCCAAAAGCACATGGCAATCCTAGCAAAACCTAAGAGTTACATCATCTAGATGCTTTAATCCATTCTGAGATGGCTAAAATTGTGAAATTTAAAAATATTGTATTGGTAATAAATAAATACATAAAAATACTATACTGGGGAAAAAGCCAAGTCCACAGGAATGTAAGGAACAGTTTCATTATTGTTTCAAAGACGCCATTTTTTTCTTGGCAAAGTACAACCAACTCAGAAGTGCTGAGTCTTCTCTCGTATCTGCTGGAAGTAGTCCTCATAACCTCCCCATGTCTGAGGACGCCAGTTTCATACACTGGAAATAACATCTTAGACAACTCCTTGTCCCATAGTTTTACCTCTGCAACATACCCCAAATATGTTTTCTGGTTTTTATTCACAGTGCCATCACTCTATTTTAAGTGCTTACTATTTATGAGCTGGAATATTCTATCGCTCTCCAAACAAATCTTTGATCTGCCTGCATCCAAATCCAATCTGTCAGTCAATGCCAGATTAACCTTACGTGAGCTATCCTAGATAGTGCTGTCTAGGCTGAACTCAGGCAGGAGTTAGAAGACCTGCCACTACCTACCTATACAACATTGCAAAAGGCATTTAACTTCTCTGGGTAAGTGCTCCAACTCTGTAAATTTGAGAGACTTTCCCTCAGTTCCTTCAGGCTCGAACATTCTGTGATTCTATGACTCCAACTTTTCAACCAGGGACATCCTCCTGAATCTTTCCAACCTTACTTCCAACTACTCTTTATGTTGCAGTCAGAAATGAGTCATTCACTAAATATTTTTTAACCTTAATGTAGCCTTTATTAATCATATGGTTTTCCCAATCCGCAATGCTCTCTTACCTCTGGTGATACCTTATTTAGCCAGTTAGCCCAATCTCAAATCTCACTCATCCATGGGGCCTCAACTGACAATCTCTTTCATAAAACCCTCATGTTATCTCTCACTCCTGTATAATTCTAACAATGCTTTCTTTTGTGTTAGTCTTATAGTATTTACTGGATTCAGCTCTGAAATATAGACACACGTATACTTGTATATTTTTCCTACTCGAAATATACAACTGTTATGGACCAGGAATATATCTTTACTAATACATGGTCTAATACACTGTTAGACAATTATTAACAAAAAGCCGAATTATTAATATCAAGTGAAAAATACTCAAAGATTCACACTGATATTTAAATCAACAATTACTTGTTTACCCAAATTTGAGAAATATAAGAAAGTGGCTGATATAACCCTGGTTGGAATTCTGCTTCTTTGTACCACTGTTGCTGGTTCTTGCTAAAGACAAGATGCCTAACCAGAAAGCACAAAGACAGCACTCCCCATCAATGACATCCTGTAGATATTTACATTAATTCAGCTGACATTTATGTGATATTAATACAAGGCCAGCACTGTTCATCACTCTTTCAGTAACCACAGATATTAGATACAAACCACATAATATCACCTTTACTAGTGTGATTAAGGGGAACTAGGAAAAACTGTCCAACAAGCTTAAACTGGTAGTTGGCTGAATTTACTTTATAATGACTATAAAAGGACTTTAAGAATAAGTGTTTCTAGCCAGGCACGGTGGTGCATGCCTGTAGTTCCAGCTACCTGGGACACTGAGGCAGGAGGATTGCTTGAGCCCAGGAGTTCGAGACTAGCCTGGGCAATACAGTGAGACTCATCTCTTTGAAGAAAGTTTAAAAAATGAATAAAGTGTTTCTAAGAAGGAAATAAATCACTAATATTTTCCAAAAACCTCAAAAATCGATGTGTAAAATTGGAACTGTAGAAAATTTAGAAGTTTTGGCTTGACAATATTTTTACGTATTTCAGCATAACTAATTAAAGATCATACTTCTTTATCATTTGTGGCTTGATAACAATATGACTCATCCTTTCTTTTTTGAGAAAGAGTCTCGTTCTATTGCCTAAGCTGGAGTACAGTGCCATGATCACAGCTCACTGCAGCCTTCAACTCCTGGGTTCTAGCAATTTTCTCAGCTCAGCTGCCTGAATACCTGGGACTACTGGCATGCATCACCACACCTAGCTAATTTTTAATTTTTTGTAGAGATGGTGGTCTCACTATGTTGTTCAGGGTGGTCTCAAACTCCTGGCTTCAAACAATCCTCCTGCCTTAGGATCCCAAAGCACTAGTATTACAGGCATGAGCCAACACGTCTGGCTGGCTCTGCCATTTTGAAACTACAATTTCAAGTTACTGAATTCCAAGTTTTTCTCTGCCACCCTGTAAAATGGAGTGATACCACCTATTTCACAGAATTATCATAAACTTAAAATAAACTTATTAATAATATGTACATAAAAGGTTAGACATATAAGAGCTAGTCAATAAATGTTGGTCTCTCCCCCAAACTTGTATAACGTCATTACTTCATCAAAAAGAGAAAGCCAGAGAAAGATCACCAGTCTTTACAATAAGCAAAATAATTTAGTAGGTCTCCTCTTTCAGAGTATGTAAATCCATTTAAGTTCCCCATTAATATCAACTGGATCATGTTGTAGGTAGGTACATACTCATATGCCCAAACAGGTATTTACCTTGCCAGAAATAGTTTTTTTCTTTGTTTCCCCTACTTTCAAGCTAACAAGTTAGAAATAGTTTTTAAATGACTGCAATCTATTTGAAGAAAAATGATCTCCTTATGCAAAACAATTAACATTTCAAAGGCATACTTAATGCAGTAGGAACTGAATTCTCAGATTATCTGGGGTCAGGGTTAAGAAATCCTCCAAAGAGCTGGGTCTTGAATCAAACTCAGAACCAAATAAAAAATATGACTGAGGGATCTAGGGAGCTAAGAAAGGCAGCATGAACATGGGTACAAAACTCTAGAAGGAATAAACGAGAGACAAGACAAAGACATCTGGACTTCATCCTACAGTCTATAGAGGGCCCCTGCCTTTTCTTTATTTTTTCTCTTTAGAAAAAAAGTGGTACTTCTAGAAAAATTAATCTGACATCATCTGTAAGAACGGCAGTAATCCAAGGTAACTAGAAGTCAATCTGGTAACAAATGGAGTCCAATTAGGGGTCAGCAAACTTTTTCTGTAAAGGGCCAGATAGTTAAGCATTTTAGGCTTTCATGTTCATATGGTCCCTGTTACAACTACTGAATTCTGCTATTACAGTATGAAACCAGCGAAATGAATGAGCATGGCTGTGTTCCAACAAACTTTATTTACAAAAGCAGGCAGCAGACTGAATTTGGCCATGGCTTTGCTTTAGAGGCTCCTGGTAGACTGCGGAAGCAGTGGAAAAGAACAAAATTTTGTGATTTTCTTAACAATATTTAGTGATTTTCTTTACATGAGATGAAAACAAACATAACATCAAAACAGGAGCCTGAAAACTAGCATGGTAGTGGTGTTACAGACAGAAATTAACAAGTTTGAGGAAAAAAATTCATTTAAAAACGTGGTGAACCAGTGGTTGTTGGGCGTTGGTTGGGGAGTTGAACTGTTAATAAGTAGGAAGTTTCTTTTTGTGTGATGAAAACAGTGATGGTTGTAGAATTCTGTGAATATACTAAAAACAAATGAGTTTTATGGTATATGAATTATATGTCAATTAAAAAAGAGGAGGAAACACATGCAGAGTATGAGGTGAGGGCAGACTCAAGCTGAGGTGTGTCTCAATAGCAACTATATAATGCCATAGTACACTTGTGAAAATAAGGGTAGAAGATGATAGTTGAGACACAAGGAGATGCTGAAATAAAGCTCTCCAAAAAATAATCAAAAAGTAATGCCTTAAGAAACTAGATAAAGAAAATACATAAAGAAAAGCATAATAGAAAAATATCAGCATACTACTAGAAAGATATGAAATATCAGAAAGGATGTTATCAGATAGCATAAAAAGTAAACAATAAAGAATATATAACCCTCACCAAACCTACCCATGTTAAAAAGACACAACACTCATTAAAGTAAGATAACCAATGCCTAACTCTAATAAATATTCCTAACAAGTAGCAGAGTTAGTTTAATGATACGTAAACAGTCTCCTCCATCATGAGCCTTTGAAATGACTTTTTGAAAATCTCGAAAGCAGATGTTTTTGGTATAGCTTAAGCAAATATCTGCAATTATCTTTAAGAAAAAAGTGCATGCTTGTAACTCTATAGACAGTAGATGAAGTCTTAATGCTAATCCTGTTTACACTATTGCCAATGCATGCCTTGTTTTCCAGACATCTCACCTGAATGGGTGGCCTTCATCTGATTTCTGGATAGCTTGGATCACACCCCTGTATATCCTAAAGCTGATGGTCACAGAGAGCAGGGCCAAGGCAATGTAGGCTGTTACACTCACAATGCTGAATACTGTCAATGAAAGCAGCAGGAATAGGCTGGCACCAAACACCACTCCAGTCTTCTTAATGTCTCTCCAGTAGAGGAGGTCAACAACTAAAAATTGAAAAAGAAATCTGAAATTAGAACATTATTTTATCAATTTGGATTTGTTCCATCTGTGAAAATAAAAAGACTACTACATACAGTAAAACCAAACCTAAAAAGTTAAAGAAACACTAAGTTAAAGAAACATTAACTTTAAAACCCACATTTTAAACCCACTCTTAGTTGTATATCATATAACACCTCTCCATGAAATGTTATTTACTTCTGCATAACCAAATCATTCTAGCCATACACAATGATTAAATGTCTCCAAAGCCTAGAAGACTTCTAATCCAAAACAAGGAGTTACTTAAAATAATCTTGGGGGCTGGGCGCGGCGGTTCATGCCGGTAAACCCAGCACTGTGGGAGGCTGAGACAGGTGGATCACCTGAGGTCAGGGATTCCAGACCAGCCTGGACAACATGGCGAAACCCCATCTCTACTAAAAATACAAAATTTAGTGGGGCATGGTGGCACATGCCTGTAATCCCAGCTACTCGGGAGGCTTGAGGCAGGAGAATCGCTTGAATCCGGGAGGCAGAGGTTGCAGTGAGCCGAGACTGCACCACTGCACTCCAGACTGGGCGACAGAGCAGGACTCCGTCTCAAAAAAAAAAAAGAAAGAAAAAGAAAAAATAAATCATCTTGGGGTTTTTCATCTCATACAATGCATGCTATATAATCAAATAATTCAATAAATAAATTCCAATAACAAAAAATATTAACACACTAAAATGAGATACTTCAGTGACACCAAAACATATGCAGAAAATAAATCAAAAAAGACTGAGATAGAAAAACTACACATATGAATGAGCTTTACAACTCTGCTCTTTTTGTTTCGTTTTGTTTTTTTCAGACGAAGTCCCCCTCTGTCGCCCAGTCTGGAGTGCAGTGGCACGATCTCGGCTCACTGTAAGCTCCGCCTCTTGGGTTCACGCCATTCTCCTGCCTCAGCCTCCCAAGTAGCTGGGACTACAGGCGCCCGCCACCATGCCCGGCTAATTTTTTGTATTTTTAGTAGAGACAGGGTTTCACCGTGTTAGCCAGGATGGTGTCCATCTCCTGACCTCGTGATCCACTCACCTCGGTTTTTATTTGATTTTTTGTGCAACAACTCTGCTCTTAAGATCTCTCTTTGAGAAACAAAATTGTAACTTAACCTGGGTATCATTAAAAGAAAAATTTCTACAAAGCAAAAGACAAAACAGGAGATCGAGACCATCCTGGCGAACACGGTGAAACCCCGTCTCTACTAAAAATACAAAAAACTAGCCGGGCGAGGCGGCGGGCGCCTGTAGTCCCAGCTACTCGGGAGGCTGAGGCAGGAGAATGGCGTAAACCCGGGGGGTGGAGCTTGCAGTGAGCTGAGATCCGGCTACTGCACTCCAGCCCCGGCGACAGAGCCAGACTACGTCTCAAAAAAAAAAAAAAAAAAAACAGCCTTTAGATTACCTGAAAAGCTACTTCCTTCTAAGAGTTGATAAATATAATGCTGTAAAAATTTTGGGGTCAAAGAAAAAAGAAAAGTAAATGTGCTACACTGTTACATAATGTTTATTAATAGTAATGAGTCAGACAAAGCCCAACTTAGCACGTCTGCTCTTGGACATGGCCACAGGGCCACTGAGGGGATCAAGGAAGCATAGCCTGATGTCTCAAAATCGGGTAATGCTCAATCCAAGGAGAACCCTGAAGTGTGCCAAAGTGATCCTGAATTCATAGACTGATGTAATTAATCTCTCTGAACTGTGAACAATTGGGAGAAAAAAAATTTAATAGTAAAATAAATATGGATATACTCTTTGCAAGAAGAGGTGACATCGAAGAAAAATCACAGTTTTAGGGCTGCTTTGGTTTTGATCCCCAGGTCCCCTAAGGTGTACGTAACTTTCCTTTGCTCTTAAGGGTACTTCTGTGGGGGAAAACTCTGTATGTGAACTGCACAATGTTGGATATTAGTACAAAGTCCTTAATTGCTGCTAGTATATCATGAGTACTCTTTAGGATATTTTAAATGCCCAACACTGTGTCCAGTACATAGCAGGGATTCAAACACTTATTTCAGTCACCTAAATGGCTTGAATGCTATTAATTTAACATTCTATATATGATTTCGAGCTTTGTTTTCAAACTCTGATTTCAACTATTTATTCAAATATTCCCCAACTTGTCTGGTACAGCCCTGCCTAAAACATCTAAATGAGCTCAGTGCTATCCCACTAGTTTCTACTATTGTACTAGCACAACTGACGACTGACAAGAACTTGAAATGGTCTATCTATAGGTTGTCAAAAGGACATTACGAATAATGTCATACTGAATAAGGAGATAGGAGCAATGCTAATAGGTTTCTGGCAATCAGCAAACACTTAATGAGGTGATACTGTTCAAGTAACTCAATCTAGCAGAATGAGAAAACTCATTCTGATTCTTGAAGGTCCTGTCCAACATTACAATTCTAGGAAAGATAAAACATGTAAAAGCAAGTCAATGAAGGTATAAAATAAATACTGCACTGTTATGAGAACTCAGAAAAGGGAAAAACTGGAAGAAATGTTAAAAGACTGTGAAATACTGTAAATGGAAATTAAGCTGGGTCTTGAAGAATGAATGGCATCTAGAAAACCTAAAGGTACAGGTCTAACTGTAAGCACCTTTCTGCTAGCAGTGGTTCTAACAATTAATGCCTTTTTTTTATTATTAGGAGGGTACAGTGAGAGAACGGGGAAGTGATGATAAAGACAGCCCTTGGTAAGATCACTCTTTCCTGTGAGGCTCCCTTTGTGCCCTACAGCAGTGGTTTAATACACACAAACAAAAAACTTAGGTTCTATAGTTGGGTCACAGAGACTAAAAAAAAAATGACTGCATAACTTACAAGCTATGTGACCTGAGGTAAGTCACTAAAGTCCTCTATATTTCAGTTTCTTCATCTATAAAACATACATTAAAATAGGAATGAACAAAAGGCATAAAGTTTCTAGATAGAATGGAGAAAAAAGTTGAGATTTACTGCACCCCAGGGTGACAACGGTCAATAACAGCAGACTATATATTTCAAAATAACTGAAGAGTAAATTTCATGTCTCACCACAAAAATAATAGGTAACAAGGTGGTAATTTAATTAGCTTGATTTAATCACACCACATTGTATACCTGTCAAAACACATTGTACCCCATAAATATATACAGCTAATGATTTGTCAAAAAATAAGAATGATCTCGAGATGTGATTCACTAGATTTTTCATTAGTAAGATAATTAATGTAAAGCACTTAATAGAGTACATAGCATATAATAAATTCTTAATAAATGTCAGGGCTATTTATTATTATTATCACCACAATCACATTATCTAAATAGTAAATATATAAAGAAGAAAATTTCAAATGTATTATTAAAGTCAATAAACTATACTGTTGTGTCGTACTGTAAACATGTTACTTTATAAACCACATTGGAAAGGATTTTAAACCTTATCTAAGTTTTTACTATTATAGGGTAAGTAAAAGCTAATAGCCCAAAGGAATAAGCAGATAAGGTATACCTCAAATCTATTTTTCTTTTCTTTCTTTCTTTCTTTTTTTTTTTGAGACAGTCTTGCACTATCGCCCAGACTGGAGTGCAGTGGCGTGATCTCAGCTCACTGCAAGCTCCACCTCCCGGGTTCACGCCATTCTCCTGCCTCAGCCTCCCGAGTAGCTGGGACCACAGGCGCCCGCCACCACACCCGGCTAATTTTTTGTACTTTTAGTAGAGACGGGGTTTCACCGTGTTAGCCAGAATGGTCTCGATCTCCTGACCTCATGATCCACCCACCTCAGCCTCTCAAAGTGCTGGGATTACAGGTGTGAGCCACCGTGCCCAGCCTCTCAAATCTATTTTCCAAATGAACAAATGCTCCTTTATAAAAGTGGTTCTCAAAATGCTCAAAAACATTAACCTTCAAAATCACTATTGGTGAAAAGTTAAAGTAAATGCAGATGTGCTCGCTATTTTTTACTATCATTAAAAACTACTCAGTAAAACCTGGCCATGAAATCAATGACTATAGATTTGAGAGGTTTGTACTGTACAACATAAATGTCTAATCAAACCTCCCTAATATAACAGAGTTACTGTCTAAACAGGTGTAGTGACTAGATATGATTTATAATTAGTCTATAATTTCTACCTAAATGAATATGGTAAAAGGAAATATCAGGTCTGGGATTCAAGAGACCCACATCCTAGCATGTACCAGGCTCAGCAATTTTGTGATTTTGGATAGGACTCCAACCTCTCTGCCTTCAGTTTTATCGTCCATAAAGGGCATTAATCTTCTCTCTTTTCCCTTAAGGAATTAACATGATCTATAGTCAGTACAAAGATACATACATTAGTACTGCATTCAAATTCCCTGTCAGTGGATCCAAACCAATGAAGTTGTACTACTGTGGCATTATCTGTGCTCAGTATAATTTAAAAATATTTCCTTCCTTTTTAGATCTATATTTTTTTGGGGAGAAGGAAGCTTAAATATTTTTATTCACACCAGTCTTCTGATTTGAACCTTCCTAGAAATATCTTAAGTACCAGACATTATTAAAACTTTAGGAATATAACAAATTCATATTCCTACAATTTTCCAAGCAATTATAAACTCTATCATTATGGCAACTGTATGAAACTTTTTAAAAGTATGAGAAATGATACTCTTAAGACTGATAGATGTTTGACTGCTGATCTACATTCTCCAATCTCCACACCTTATTTCCTGAGCACATAAACTTATGCCAAACACTGCAGTAGCCTATACAACATCATCTCTTTCAATTATTAAAACCTAATGAGCCACTGTGCAGAGTGGCTTATACCTGTAATTCCAGCTCTGTGGGAGGCCGAGGTAAGAGGCCAGGAGTTTGAGACCAGACTGGGAAATACAGAGACCCCTCATCTCTTAAACAAACAAACAAATAAACCTAATGAAAGGTAGGCTTGAACGAGTGAAACCCAGCTCCTAC